TATCTAATCCTCCTTTAACTCTTTCTCATTTTTAAAAACAAATAACCTATCTAACCCTATCTATCGAGACTCCTCCTCTGACTCTCTCTCATTTTTAAAAACAAATAACCTATCTAATCCCTTATCTCAATTGCTAACTCACCCACAGACCTCCAACAAGTCTAACTATCTCACGATACCCCCTCTCTCTCCCCTTCCTCTCTGTCTCTACCTTGCCCCTGCAACACACCGGAGTAACACCCATTGCAACAGGCAACACCAGGAATCCAGGTATTCTGGGTTTTTTGTGTGAGTGTGTATTCTGGGTTTGTTGTGTCTTTGTGTTCTGGCTTTCTTAAATTATCTCCTTCTCTCTCTATCTCGCTCTCTCTTTCTCTGTGTTCTGGGTTTTTTGTGTATGTGTGCCTGTGTGTTCATTTTCTGCCTCCTGTGAACTGTGCTTAATTGAACTTTGTATTATCGAAGCAGCTTGCCTATATCTGACAGCAACTCGATTTTGTACAATGCAGTCTGTTATTTTTATTAAGTATTTCTGAATTTGGTTTTGGAACAGCATCTTCGCCTTCTCACAGAACTGCCTCTTGGTGGACTGCTCTCCCATTTTGATTATTAAAACCCTACGAGAAAGGGGTATATATGTGTGAGGGTAAATAAGTAGACCAAAAACAGAGGCAATAAACCAATTACGAATGTAAATTATAGCTTTCTATGAAAACTGGCTAGACCCACATCCAATTCTTCCCTCACCGGAAGAAAAGCTTCAAATGGCCCCCAATCTGTGTATACATGCAAATATATAGATATTCATATGCATTTCTATTCTGGAGAGAGAGAGAGAAAGAGAAAGAGAAGGAGTAACAAGTGATCATAGACTAGGGATTGACATTTCCATGGTGTGAAATAATCCTCGGAGAATTGGAGATTAGGAAATGATCCAATAGGACACGTGGCCTTATGGGTATCTGAGATTGTTCAATATTGATCCCAGAGAGCTGTGGAACAGAGAACATCCATGGTGGCGAGCCAGAGACAGAGGGGAGACGACAACAGTCTGAGAAAGAGGGAACTCAAAGGACAAAAATAGTTTTATAGGCCTCACATTTAAGAAAAAATTATTTTACAGAAATTTTTATTCCCCAGTCTCTCCTTTGAATTTAATTCAAGAATATCAATCGATTGGAATTTAATTTCTTTGAATTTAAATTTTGTATTAAAATTTGGATTTAAATATGATTTATATTAATCGAATCACCATCACCATTTTTTTGTGAGCAAATGTTATGTGTTAAATGTGTATTGTTATTTTCAGTACTTTTTTATTCAAAATTTACAGATTTGACATGATTTTATTATTGGTAAATGTTATTTGTGAAATAGGCTATTGCTATTTTCGGTACTTTTTAGTCATACATTTGTATGATTTTATAGAAGAAAAAATATGTAAATGTTAAAAAAAATTCATAGACATTCCAAACCAAACTAATCACAAAAATCCAAAAATTCAAAACCAAGCTAATCACCAATAAAAAAATAAAAATTGATACCAATTACACCAAAAAAAAAAAAATCCAAAACCAAGCTAATTGCCAATAACAAAAAATAAATGAAACCAATTGCATCAAAAAATAATATTCAAAATCAACTATAAATTTTTTTTTTCAAGTCGTAGACATTCAAACTAAAGCTAATCACTGATAAAAAAAATGATAAAGTTAAATATTTGAGTAATTTTATAGGAAGAAAAAAATTTTGAATGCTAAAAGAAAAATTCCAAGTTGTAGACATGCAAAGTCAAGTTGCACCATAAAAAAAAAATCAAAGTCAATCTAATCACCAATAAAAAAATAATAAGTGATACCAATTGCATCAAAAAAACAAAAAAACAAAAATTCAAAGCCCAAGTTAATAGCAATAAAAAAATAATAAGTAATTGAATTTATAATTATATTGTGTTATTCGGTTAAATGGTGATAATGATGATAAATTCATACACCTTATAAATGAGTAAGATTTTATATTACTTATAAATTATAAATGTTATTAGATTTCATTAGTATTTTTTTTCCGATGTATTTGTCTATGTGATATTGTTTTGGGAATTTTTTTTTATACATTTTTGGGATAGTTCTATTAATATGAAAGATATGATCGATAGTATATTTCGGGTTATTTTAAAAGAATTGATATGAATGTTTTTGACCCACTTTTTTTTTTAAGATGGACAATTATTTGTGATTTTTTGTGGGTTATATAGTGCCTTCAGGCACGGATAATGACTAGTATATAATAACATAGTTAGATTTCTCTATCTTTAGCTTTTCGCGGCTCAGATCACTTGAAGAAATATTGATCCGACAGTCCTAACACAAAATTTCCTCTCCCTCCAATTTTTTGAGCAAGACTTTCATTCATTCTACAATTCTAAGACTCATATCTCTCTTATAACTCTCTATCTCTCTCTATCTCATACTACAAATTAATTAGATCGTTAATTATGATTTTAATTAAAGATTATTTTAAAAATATTTAAATAATAAAATGAACCATAAATACAGATTTTTTGCGTTAAAACGAGTCGAATGACTATAATATAGGTCTTATTTTATATTGAAATACAAATACTATAATATTTGAATGATATAATAGGCAAATAATATATATGTAATGTGATATATCTATATACTAAGCGAGCTAGCATTACTAGTCTTGAGTTTTTTGCAGCTCAAATTGTTTAAGATTATTAATCAAATGATCGAAATTCCTCCTCCAAATTTCATTTTATTAGATTATCAGTTCGAAGTGATTATGATTAGGATTTGAATTGAGTTGAATTTAATTGTCGAATATAAAATATATATTCTTACTTAAACTTAACTTTACTTGAATTCTACGAGTATTCAAGTTGAAGTCAAATTAAAATTAATTGTAAAAGTAATAAAGAATAACCAAATTAAAAAAAAAAAAGTTATGTCATCACAGTGAACGAAAATAGATAAGAATTAATTTGTAGATTTAAGATAGAAGTGCTAATTAAGTCAAACTTAAATTCAATTCTTCGTTTGACGTAATTATGATTAAGACTCNGTTATGCCATCACAGTGAACGAAAATAGATAATAATTAATTTGTAGATTTAAGATAGAAGTGCTAATTAAGTCAAACTTAAATTCAATTTTTCGTTTAACGTAATTATGATTAAGACTCGAATTGAGCTGAATTTGACTGTCGAATATAAAATATAAATTCTTACTTAAACTTAAATGGTGGGGGTTATTCCCACCCCCAAATCTTCATTCTCACCTTATTTAATTTTTCATTATTAAACTATTAGGTCCACCATTTTCTATACCCCACCGTCTTTAAAAAAAAAAAGAACAAAAAAAAGAAAAAAAAGAAAGAAAGAAGCAAACAGAAACAAGAACGAAAAAAAAAACTTAGCAAATATTAAAGGAACAAATAAAATTACAAAACACAAAACCACAAGACGCAAAACCGAATATGAAAAAAAAGTGTCAAGCAAAAATACAAAATCGAATAAGAAAAAAAAATAACAAACATAGATGCAAAACCTAAACAAAATAAAAAAACAACAAATAATCTAAAAACATACAGGTATATACACGTATATAAATTTTAAATAAAAAATTATTAAACTCGACAGAGATATCAAAACATACCAAAAAATAATGAAAATTTATACAACAAACAAGAAATCAAACAAAAAATTAAATTGAGAAGTAATATTAACTTGTATTTTACTAGAAAAATTCATATTAGAAAAGTATTTTTGTGAGTGCATGAGANCTGAGAATTAATACTAACTTGTATTTCACTAAAAAAATTCATATTAAAAAAGCATTTTTGTGAGTGAATGAGATGAAATAGATAACGAAACCCTAATTATGACAAAATATAATGTGAGTTTACTTATTAAACATAGTGTATATTGCATGGGGTTGACTTAATTACTAATGAGGTAGGGTATAGAAGATGTGTGCTTAGTAGTTTGATAATGAGAAATTAAATAGGGTGGAAATAACCCCACCAAAACTTAAATTTGATTGAATTTTACAAATATTTAAGTTGAACTCAAATGGATACTAATTTTAATTTCTCAACAAATTTTTTTTACATTTACGAGAATTCACGTGAAACTTTTAAATTTTTTACTCATAAAAGTTACACAAACTCACATTGAAAAAATGGTGCAAAGATAATATTAAGAACTTTAGGTAAAAATCTGCAAAAAAAATAAATAGTTATATTTTTTTAAAAAATTGAGATAATAATTATTTAAAATGTTGGAATTGTAAATGTTTGATTAATAATAATTATATTTTCTCAAAATTTTGAATTAATATGTTACAGTAGTTATAACATGACTTTTGTTATATATATGTTTGATTATATATGTGCTGCATACATGTTGAATAATATAAATTTGATCATTATATTATTAAAATTGTATTATACATTACCTTTATTTATGAAAAAATATTTACAATTGTTTACGAGTAACGTAGTGCTTTCTGACACGAGTAATTATTAGTGTATATATATAAATATTTTAATGTTTGTCAAACTCTTAAAATTTAAAAATTTTTAATTTTTAGTTTTACTTTACTTCTAAAGAAAACGAATAGTCTGATAAAATTGACAAAAAATAAATTTTATAACAAATAAATTTATTTAATAGACTTAAATTCAAACAAGTTTATATAAAGAGATTGACCTCTAAATTTCCCTAACCTTCTACCCAAATTCTACCCAAAAAGCCATGAAAGCCTTCTCCATCTCAACCAAAGAGACAAACGACTGAAAAATAAACCAAAATGATGTAAAAGTATGTTTTTATGTAAAACCCATAAAATAAGATTGTCGTGTGAAAATTAAAGGCCCGATAACTGTTTTTATTTTCTGTTTTTTGTTTTGTTTTTAGTTTTAGTAAAAAAAAACAAAAAACAAAAAACAAAAAAACAAAAGCGCATTTAAGTTGTGTTTTTGTTCTCGCTCACCACTCCCTCTCTTTCGATCGCCTCGCAGTCTCTCACGAAGAGGAAGGTGCCTCTGACGCCATTAAAGCTCGCCTTTCTCAAGGTCAGCTCTCTTATGCTCCATCTCCATCGATCTCTCTCTCTGTTACACTATGAAAAATTTATTTTTAACTATAGTTTCTATATACATAGATCTATGGATATATATATATACACACACACACATAGATCTGTATATATATGCATATATAGGCTTACATCTATGTATATATTTTGTATATTTCGCAAATATAGGCATAAATTTGTGTGTGAAAGTGTGGTTGTGTGTGGGTCTGTGTTTTGTGAGTGGGTTTGTGTGAGCGTGTACGTCTGTGTGTGTGTGTGTGTGGCTGTGTGAGTCTGTTGTTGTGTGTGTGTGGTTGTGTGTGTCCGATGGGTGTGTGGTGATACAAAAAAGCTCAGAAGATACAATAATGAGGAACTCAAAGGGAAGGATAGTCATGTTGAAAAGTTATGACTATTGATGATACACAAAAATGGCTTTTAATTGAGCTTTTTATTGAACTTAATGTTCATGGGTTTGAATTTATGGTATTGACTATGTTATAGTCCTATAAATTTGGGGTCTCTTTTTTGGTTGGCCCCTAAAGCCATATGTTTGGGCTGGCCTTGCAAAATGCTGACTTATTCATATTTTTTCACTTGTTGAAGGTGTTGTAGGTGTTGCAGGGTTTAGGGTTTAGGGGAAGAGATGAGTGGAACAGGAGAGAAAGGGTCAGCCACCACAAAAACACCAGCAGATTTTCTTAAATCAATCCGTGGGCGACCTGTTGTGGTCAAACTCAATTCTGGTGTTGATTATCGAGGTTTGTGAGTTTAAGTCCTCTTTTGCTCATGTACTTTTTGTAATTTTTGTTTATGGTTTTCTCATTGCAATTTTTCTTCCCAGGTCTAGTTATCAATTTTTTCCCTTTCCTACTTCTACGAATATGATACTTAATTCTGACCAGAAGATCACTTCACTTTCACGTTGTCGTCACGACATTCTAATAACATGTTCAATTATGTGCAATTGGTTTTCTTGGCAGCACCAGAGGGGTTTGATGAGCAGTTTAGGCAAATTAAGCCCCTAGTTAGCTGATTATATCTTACATCTGGAAAATCACCAAGTATTTAGGCTATCATAACGACATGGAGATGCCATGAGTATCATTAGAAGAAGATGAATGAGCTTCACTTGCCCTTGCCCAAAAAATTACAAATAGAAAGGTAATCATTAGTTAAAAAAACTATGCTTGTGGCGAACAATGCCAAGCCAAACATAGGCGAGCAGGTGAAATAACCAATACTATGCAATCAAGGCGTTGCTTGGTTGAGTTGCTTCTCATTCTTTGCTTAAATTTTTACCTGATTGATTAATGAGAATATAATAGTTTGTGACATAGTTTTTCTACTTCAATCACCTGATTGCATCAGTATATTGGCTCTGACTCAAATCTAGGTTAATAGAGGTCTGAGAAGTTTTTGATCTTTATGCTACCTGAGGAAGGATGCATTCACACATCCATATATTGTAGCAACTGGTTTCATGTGACATTCTTTATTTCATTCTCTAATAAGGCATCAATCTATGACATGTTAATGACTAATTTAGACTTTGAAGTAATCGTAGATTTTGAAGCTTAGTAAAGTTTTTACTTGGAAGTGCAAAATCCGCAAGACAAGCTTTGGCAAATTTTTAAACCACTCCTTTGATTGCTCTACTAACTAGATAAGACAACATCTTGCTTCTCTCAAGACTAGCAAAGTGGGAACCAGAAATTGTCTTAAATTGAGATCAAGCCACTGAATGATCCAGTAGAAACCACAAGCTAATAATATGCAAGTGATTAATATATGCATTAGACATCGGCACATTACACAACATATCAATTCATACTTGCAGCTCTCTTCAAAATTTGGGGGATATAAGCAATTTTTATCCCTTGGGGAGAATAACACACTAACGATATCAGTTTTGTAAAAGTCATTCCTAGGTGCTTCCCTAGGCACAAGGCGACTCCAGGCGCACCCCTTGTGCCTCAACGTACCTCAGGTGAGGCAACTTCCATAAGGCGCATGCCTCACACACCTCAGGGATTAAGCTCAAATTGTAGAGGCGCTCACTTCTTTTTTGTCTTCTGCCTTTATATATCTTCTGTAGGTATAGATACTACGATCTTAGCTTTGAGGTGTCAATACGCTTCGTGTGACAAAATTGGTTCCCTTTTCTTTGAAAGATGTTAATGAAAGTAATGAGTGGTTGCTTAGGAGGATGCTTGCAGAATCATATGAAGATGATGATTCAAGGTTTTGATGGTGACTTTTATTTTTTAATAATTCAACTCCAAACCAATCGATAATGTGTGGAGAGATCCACAAGACTTATATATTAGCTTGGGAGATGTTTTATCGATAAGGGATAAGCACTATTTCTCTCCCACACGTGCTATTCCCACTTGTTTACATGGAGAGACAAATAGAAGATTTAGAAGATAAATTGATGTGAATAACAAATGAACCTACAAACAATGAGGGAATCACTTACCAAATCGAAGAGTTTGGCCTTGCACAAGCCTTCCCCAAGTGCAGCTCTTAGATCATGTTAAGCATCTATCGGTAATGTATAATATTATCCTTTTGTTTGATAGACTTTTGCTTCAGATGTGTTGCACATTAGTTCTGCAGGCACATAATTTATATCCAGGACCCATACCAAATGCATGGCCTATAATTGGGCCCTTGTGTATATTTATTGTGTGCCAATGAGTTTCATTCTTGGTAGTCTTGCATTACATTTATGGTGTACTTGTGCGTGGAGTTAGCATATTTAGTTTGATTTAGATGGATGGTCACATTTCCATCTTGGCTTATAGAATTTTGAGATGTGATAAATATTTCTTTATTTGGGTTCATTTCCTCATGCAGGTATATTAGCTTGTCTGGATGGATACATGAATATAGCGATGGAGCAAACAGAAGAATATGTGAATGGGCAACTGAAAAATAAATATGGTGATGCGTTTATTCGAGGAAATAATGGTAACTAGTACTTAGCAGATTATCTTCTTGATTGACATCTCAACTGTTCTAATCAAATTGAGATGACAGTAATTGGGTCTCTCTTGATGCAGTGCTCTACATCAGTACATCAAAGGGCACACTTGCAGAAGGGGCTTAATGTTGTGATGCTTTCAGGAAATCCAAGTCAGATTTAATACTCTTCTTTATGTGTTGGTATTTATGTAGTAGTGGATTTGGGCATTGGTTAGGATATAATTACTCGAAGCTGTTTTAAATGCCATTCTGATTGGATGTACTATCAAACAGGTGCTTTTTGGTAAGCAAAAACTGATTTACGCAACGAATGACCGTTTTCTATCCTTCTATCTTCCTGTTCATGTTGTTGTGCACTCTCTTGTTTGCTGTTTGCATACTGTGGGAATGGGGCAAGCTGGCTGAGGGGTGGGTCGGTAAAGGGGGAGGGGGTGGGGTGGTTGGGCTATTTGTGCCCTGGTCATGTTTTCGTTTATCAGCAAGGTTAGAAGACTTGCAATTTTGTTTTCAAGGGTTGGGTAAAGGCTTAATTGCTGTTGACCATTGGTTTAACACATTTTTTACTCACAAAAAGAGGCATGGGAAAAACAAGGAGGAAGAAAGAGTTGAAAACTTGTTTCGGTGTTTTAGCAAAATGTAGATCTGCTGCCCTTTACAACTTTTGCTTGCGGCAATTCTTATTGCCGTGCCTCCTTCCACATAGAGGCTAATCTCACTTTGTACCCCCAAAATATGCTTCAATTCTCAATTTGCATTCTCAAACATCAAAAATCGTAATTTTTTTCTTATGTCCGAAGTACTTGCCCCTTACGTGTTTTAATTTATGATGGAATATTGAATAGCAATTTGATTTAGGTTCACATTGCTACTAATTCATAATNATCTGCTGCCCTTTACAACTTTTGCTTGCGGCAATTCTTATTGCCTTGCCTCCTTCCACATAGAGGCTAATCTCACTTTGTACCCCCAAAATATGCTTCAATTCTCAATTTGCATTCTCAAACATAAAAAATTGTAATATTTTTCTTATGTCCGAAGTACTTGCCCCTTACGTGTTTTAATTTATGATGGAATATTGAATAGCAATTTGATTTAGGTTCACATTGCTACTAATTCATAATTGTTAGTGTACCAATTGAAATTTTTATTACTTAATGATGCATCAGTCCCACTTGAATTAAAGCATCAGGCTTGTGGTAGTCCTCTATGGGATCAATCCCATTTGCATACGTTGTAACTAGTAGAAATGTATTTTTGTATTCTTGCGTCTTCGATTCGTGCTTCTTCACCTTTTCACTCTTACTAAAAAAGCGATAGGGGTGCTATGGTTAATTCTTTTGGGATGGCAACCAGTGGTAGATACTTTCATTTTAAGAAAAGATCAACTGACTTNAGTTAGTATACCAATTGAAATTTTTAATACTTAATGATGCATCAGTCCCACTCGAATTAAAGCATCAGGCTTGTGGTAGTCCTCTATGGGATCAATCCCATTTGCATACGTTGTAACTAGTAGAAATGTATTTTTGTATTCTTGCGTCTTCGATTCGTGCTTCTTCACCTTTTCACTCTTACTAAAAAAGCGATAGGGGTGCTATGGTTAATTCTTTTGGGATGGCAACCAGTGGTAGATACTTTCATTTTAAGAAAAGATCAACTGACTTTGCCTAGTTATAATTGGTGCTAAAATAATAGTGTAAATAAGAAAAAAAATTAATTTATACTGGACTAATCTCATTTGACACCGTGAAACTAACTACTTTCAAAACTTTTTTTTTTAATATAATTTTTATGTTATCTCTAATTGCGTACTTATATATGTTTATATTAATTATAAAATAAAAATAAGTAATTTTCGGCACCGTTGAGAAATAAAGTTTGGCAACATCCAATGACGAGGTTTGTTTGGACCATAACGACAAAAAAAATTTGTGGTGGAATATTTAGGCCAGTGCATTAGCAGCCTTATCTAATGCACCCCACGCCCTCTCCAGCCTGATAAGGACGAAAGCCTAATTTCGGAGACCACCGAATNGAGTGTAAATAAGAAAAAAAATTAATTTATACTGGACTAATTTTTTAATATAATTTTTATGTTATCTCTAATTACTTACTTATATATGTTTATATTAATTATAAAATAAAAATAAGTAAATTTCGGCACCGTTGAGAAATAAAGTTTGGCAACATCCAATGAATGGGTCCAATGACGAGGTTTGTTTGGACCATAACGACAAAAAAAAGTTTGTGGTGGAATATTTAGGCCAGTGCATTAGCAGCCTTATCTTATGCCCCCCACGCCCTCTCCAGCCTGATAAGGACGAAAGCCTAATTTCGGAGACCACCGAATTTTTGACCACTCACCCTGATTCATATCCTCCTAAAAATATATAATATAATAACCTTTCAAATTATTTTGATTGATGATTGATAATTTATATTTAATATTTTAATTATAATAAATTTGTTTATTATAATTTAATCGTATTTGATGATGCACAAATTAGGCTATGCACAATCAAGTATATGATGCAAGATAATTAATGAAGTAGTTAATAACAAAAGACAAAGAATTTGGTCTATTGATACTCCTTGCCTTGTGAAGGAGTTATTTTTTTGGGGTCAAAAATTCAAATCCCCCTTCCTCCTTCCATNGTTATAATAAATTTATTTATTATAATTTAATCGTATTTGATGATGCACAAATTAGACTATGCACAATCAAGTATATGGTGCAAGATAATTAATGAAGTAGTTAATAACAAAAGACAAAGAATTTGGTCTATTGATACTCCTTGCCTTGTGAAGGAGTTATTTTTTTGAGGTCAAAGATTCAAATCCCCCTTCCTCCTTCCATAAAAAAAATTTTAAAAAAAAAAAAAAGTGGTTGGACTAAGATGACCAAGCGGCGACGATAGCTGGAAAACTTTATTAATAAAATAGAAGGTGGGAGAGATAGAGAGAGTAAATGTGAACTCTAGGTATGGTGAGATAGCTATGAGAGATAGCCGTGTGAAAGGTGTGCAAGAGATGTAAAGATTTAGAGGTGTGTCCTTCATCTGTAGAAGATTTATAATTTATAGACACAAATCCCGATGATTGTTCACAACGTACGTTGACTTCTTGGGTCCCTTAAACCTTGGACTGGACTAAGGTTGCGAGTTGGGCTTGACCTACTTTTTAGCTGGTTTGGATCTACTTCATTAATTGGGCTTGATCCAGTTGAATTTGGGCTCATTATTATTATTATTATAGTAAATATATTAATTATACTTATTTGTTTGACTTTAAAGGTGATAAATAGATAGACCCATTAAATTCTTTAATTAAATAGTTCAATATGAACCAAATTGAACATGATATGGATCTATTAAACACAAAATCAATTATACATAATTATAAATAAATTAGACATAAATTAAAACACAACACAACACAACCCAATTTAACCCTAATTGAATTGTATACATGCAAATTGCATTATAATGTAGATTACACACTTGTAAGTCATAATTCGATCCATGACAAATACTTATCTAGTTACACTATCTTCAAATTTGAGTAAAAATGTTGNTAAATTTAAACACAACACAACACAACCCAATTTAACCCTAATTGAATTGTATACATGCAAATTGCATTATAATGTAGATTACACACTTGTAAGTCATAATTCGATCCATGACAAATACTTATCTAGTTACACTATCTTCAAATTTGAGTAAAAATGTTGATTTAATACAAAATATTATAATAAATAAATTTAAATTTAAATTTAAATGATGACAAATCTAAGTTTAAAGATGGTGAAATATGATTATTAGATTTTTAAACGATGATAAAACCTGACTATTTGAGATTGAGTAAAATTAGAGTCTCCTTTTATTTGGTATAATTTTGAGTAAAAAGTTAAAGCTTATTTTTAAATTATTTTTGTATCTAAATTAAAATTAAAATTAAAAATTGAATAAGACTAAGAGATACGTGAAATAACCACGATTTGTTGCTCGTTGGGGTCCTATATATTAATTTGTGAAATTCATATATTGTTTTTTAACAGCGCAAAAATATGGGCTGGGCAAAACACTCGGCCCAATATATCCCACCCCAAAAAGGCAGATCAATTTCAATAAATTTCTTGGGCCTGTTTTAGCTGGCCTATTTATAGAAGTTGCTAGCTCCAACCCCACCTGTCCTTTTCTTTGCCTTTTCTTCTAGAGCCTATTTTAAAAAGGTGTTCCGTTCGAATTTTCATAATTTTTTGGGAACAGATTAAAATAAATTTATTCTTTATAAATATTCTAGTTTTATAGTGAATAACTNCCCACCCCAAAAAGGCAGATCAATTTCAATAAATTTCTTGGGCCTGTTTGAGCTGGCCTATTTATAGAAGTTGCTAGCTCCAACCCCACCTGTCCTTTTCTTCTAGAGCCTATTTTAAAAAGGTGTTCCGTTCGAATTTTCATAATTTTTTGAGAACAGATTAAAATAAATTTATTCTTTATAAATATTCTAGTTTTATAGTGAATAACTTTTTTTTGACCCGACCAAAGAGGAGATTATGCCGNTTATCTAAATTAAAATTAAAATTAAAAATTGAATAAGACTAAGATACGTGAAATAACCACGATTTGTTGCTCGTTGGGGTCCTATATATTAATTTGTGAAATTCATATATTGTTTTTTAACAGCGCAAAAATATGGGCTGGGCAAAACACTCGGCCCAATATATACCACCCCAAAAAGGCAGATCAATTTCAATAAATTTCTTGGGCCTGTTTTAGCTGGCCTATTTATAGAAGTTGCTAGCTCCAACCCCACCTGTCCTTTTCTTTGCCTTTTCTTCTAGAGCCTATTTTAAAAAGGTGTTCCGTTCGAATTTTCATAATTTTTTGGGAACAGATTAAAATAAATTTATTCTTTATAAATATTCTAGTTTTATAGTGAATAACTTTTTTTTGACCCGACCAAAGAGGAGATTATGCCGCTATTAAATTAAGAAAAAAATTTAGCGACAATCATTCTGATTTATCATAACTTCAACGACACTTCCTTTATTTCCCTTTATTTAGTAAATTTTTATTAAAGGTGTTAACTAAAATACAATTTTATTAAATTGTCCATAATATATTTTAGAAAAAAATCCATCCATATCTCTCTAAATAGACATATTTTCAATGAGATTTCCTTTGTTTTCTAAATTTTTTTACATATTAAAATTCAATTTGAGCTAATTAAAATTTGAGTCGATTANATCCATGATATATTTTAGAAAAAAATTCATCCATATCTCTCTAAATAGACATATTTTCAATGAGATTTCCTTTGTTTTCTAAATTTTTTTACATATTAAAATTCAATTTGAGCTAATTAAAATTTGAGTCGATTAAAATTTAAATTTTTTTACGTATTAAAATTTGAGATGATTAAAATTTTATTAGAGCCAATTAAAATTCAATTTTAATCAACTCAAATCAAATTTTAAATCAACTTGTATTGAATTTTAGTTGGTCGGAATTTTGATACTTAAGAAAATATAAATTTTAATTGGTACGAATTTTAATAAGTCAAAAAAATATAAATTTTAATTGACTCGAAACAAATTTTAATTTGCACTAACAGTTCAGGTAGAGTTCAAATCGGCTCGAATTTTAATACCCAAAAAAATAATTTTAATAGGCTTGAATTTTAATATGTAAAAAAAATAAAATTAATCACCTCAAATCGAATTTAAATGAACTCAAAATTTAATATGTAAAAAATGAATTTTAATTAGTTTNCTGCACTAACAGCTCAGGTAGAGTTCAAATCGGCTCGAATTTTAATACCCAAAAAAATAATTTTAATAGGCTTGAATTTTAATACGTAAAAAAAATAAAATTAATCACCTCGAATCGAATTTAAATGAACTCAAAATTTAATATGTAAAAAATGAATTTTAATTAGTTTGAATTTTAATATGTAGAAAATTAAATTTTAATTATTTGGGGTTTATGTAGACAAATTGTTTTAAATTTTTTTGAGAGCAATTTTAATATTTTAGATTGTTTTTATTAAAAATGATAGTTTAACGGTAAAGAGTGCCAATAATATTCAAATATAAACTATAAGATATGTTAAATATGTTTTAAATAATATAAGGGATATCCTTAAAAATGTGATAAATAAGGAATGTGGCTGAAATTTTCTCTTAAATTAATTATGAATTGTAAAAANTAAGATATGTTAAATATGTTTTAAATAATATAAGAGATATCCTTAAAAATATGATAAATAAGGAATGTGGCTGAAATTTTCTCTTAAATTAATTATGAATTGTAAAAATAGATGAAGCTACTTTCAAACCAATAATCATATTAAATTATGTCCCATATTAAGTTTAAATAGTATTTTTTTTTTCTCCGAGTAACTACTGAAATTTAATTAAAAATTTATTATAATATAATTATCAGATTAATTATAAATTTTAATATTAAATAGAATTCATATTCGACCCAGCTGCCACCTTAATTGATTAGGTTGAAATAAAATTTTACTTTTTTCGGATTCAACTTCAATCCCATCTGTACCACACTAATTTTTCCCAACGTCCAAATCTACGGCCTTTATTCATCTCTCACACTAATCAACGATCCTCATTTATCCAGCCAAAATCAACGCATTCCAACGCTATCATAGCTTTGCACGACCCCACAAAAAGGCCAAAAGCCACGATCTCAACTCTCTCTCTCTCCGCCTGTCACTCTCCTCCTCCAAAAATTACATATTTTTCTCTCTCCAAAACTAAAAAATCAAAATCCAAACCCCCCCAAAACCAGATCCCATATCTCCCCCCCCCTCTCTCTCTCTCTCTCTCTCACACACACACAAACACACAGAGATCAACCATGGCTGTGGCACCATCGGCACGAGAAGAGAACGTGTACATGGCGAAACTGGCCGAGCAAGCCGAACGCTACGAGGAAATGGTGGAATTCATGGAGAAGGTGTCGGCCTCATTGTCCAATTCCGAAGAACTTACAGTGGAGGAACGCAACCTGCTCTCGGTGGCCTACAAGAACGTGATCGGTGCCCGCCGAGCCAGCTGGCGCATAATCTCGTCGATCGAGCAGAAGGAGGAGTCTCGCGGCAACGAGGACCACGTGAACACTATCAGAGATTATAGATCTAAGATCGAATCGGAGCTTTCTTCGATCTGTGATGGTATTTTGAAGTTGCTGGACTCGAGGTTGATTCCTTCGGCTGCGTCTGGGGATTCGAAGGTGTTTTATCTGAAGATGAAGGGTGATTATCACAGGTATTTGGCGGAGTTTAAGGCCGGCTCTGAGAGAAAAGAGGCTGCTGAGAATACTCTCACCGCCTACAAAGCTGCTCAGGTTTGATTTGATCCTTAACGCCACTGCATCTATGTACGCGTGCATATTATTCCATATATGTTATTATTGGATGCTGATTTGTTAGATTGAGGGTTCAGGTTTCGATTCATGTCTGATTTATGAATTATTGAGTACTAACCGTTTGATTTTTGAAGTTACGTTGAGGAAACGAAAAATTAAAGGGAAGTCAAAATCCCACGCATTGTCTTCTATATCAAATTTGAATCAGAAACTGAGAATTCTTGAGATTCGATTAGAAAGCACGAAGAGGAGGGAAATGACCCACTAAATGAAACAGATTCTGTTTTCATTTTCCACAGCAACCATACACCGCTGAGCATTGATTGTAGTAGAGCCATAAGGCTCTGGTAGATTTAATGTAGACAGCGTGTAAATTACACTTTTTTTTTTGAAATTTCTTAGTAGAAATTTGCCTAGCTTTCTCACAGACACTTGAAGAGAGAATATAGGGATTTTGCTCATCTCTGAGGTAAGACTTTGTGCACGANGATGTAGACAGCGTGTAAATTACACTTTTTTTTTTGAAATTTCTTAGTAGAAATTTCCCTAGCTTTCTCACAGATACTTGAAGAGAGAATATAGGGATTTTGCTCATCTCTGAGGTAAGACTTTGTGCACGATGAATGAAGCCTACGTGAGGAAATAATGTTCAACTATCGTGGGCTTCTTGGGAAAACTTTGTAAGATACTATTCCCATGAATACCCCTGTACCGGTCTGCCCATCCCCACCTTGTCTACAGTGGAGTTTTTCTTCAGATAAACAAATTTTTATCTGATTTTCTTGTTCTTGTTTCTATAATTATTTCGTGTTTCAAGTATAGTTGCATTGAGGAGTGAGGACTGGTGTGTAATTATTGTTTAACTATTTATGCTTTTAATCTGATGTGGATATTCTTTTGTGGCATACGACTTTTGCAAAGGACCAATCTCCTTTTACCCACTTTGAATCATACTATGTCCTTTGTACTCGGCCTTTGATATTCATTGCTGTTTTGTGTTTGAAGGATATCGCAAATGTGGAACTTGCCCCAACCCACCCAATCCGGCTTGGGCTGGCTCTGAACTTTTCTGTGTTTTACTATGAGATTTTGAACTCTCCTGACCGTGCTTGTAATCTAGCGAAACAGGTGACAGATTCTTAATGTGTGTATTTCTTTTTCTGATAAAATTTCTGAGACATGCATAGTGAATGATGAAGACATAATTCCCCAATATGAGCAAGAGTTTAATAAGGTTTATGGTATCCATTTAACTTGAAATGAAATCCCAGGTCGCACAGCGATGGAGAAGGCATTTGGACATGGACATTTTTGCATTGATCTACATTTGCCGTTTGTTTTAGATGTGTTCAATGTATATTCTTCTTTGCGTTTGCCAGGCTTTTGATGAAGCAATTGCAGAGTTGGATACCTTAGGCGAGGAGTCCTACAAAGATAGCACTTTAATTATGCAACTTCTTCGTGACAACCTCACTCTGTGGACCTCTGACATGCAGGTATTTAATTTACTGTAATGCAACTTACCCTTTTACATATGCTGCCTTCCTTGTTCTTATGCTGCAATGTTATATATTGCCCTCTTTTTGTATCATTTTTTCAACATCTATGTGCATGGCACGGCAACTGATTATTTTTCCAAATGTCATCCTATATTAAGGGAAAAGCAATAACATTGATGCATAAATTTGAAACAAAATTGGGTTTTTGGTACAGGATGATGGAGCAGACGAGATTAAGGAAGCTCCCAAGCGCGATGATGAACAACAGTGAGGGTAGTCTCCCCCAATTTAGGATTTCACTTCTCCTCTGGTGGTTTTTATTATGAGAAAGTGTTTGTTTTAATTTCCATGCTTTATGTTATTTTAGGCGTTGTCTTTGTTACTGATTGGCATTGAATGTTAATGCTGTGTCGCTTAGTTTGCAATTTACTGTTGCTATGAATTGTTAATTATCCTTCAAAATACATATTTGTCTGCATTGGGTATGTTTAAACTAAATTTCTTTTGTGTTCACTAAACTAGAGTCGCCCCCCCGGGGGGGGGGGGGGGGGGGGGCGGGNAATTTAGGATTTCACTTCTCCTCTGGTGGTTTTTATTATGAGAAAGTGTTTGTTTTAATTTCCATGCTTTATGTTATTTTAGGCGTTGTCTTTGTTACTGATTGGCATTGAATGTTAATGCTGTGTCGCTTAGTTTGCAATTTACTGTTGCTATGAATTGTTAATTATCCTTCAAAATACATATTTGTCTGCATTGGGTATGTTTAAACTAAATTTCTTTTGTGTTCACTAAACTAGAGTCGCGTCCCCCCCGGGGGGGGGGGGGGGGGGCACGGCATAGGGGAAGATGGCCTTTGGTTTTGAATCGCAAATTATCTGATAGTTTGTTTTAGTGATTTGCCCATTTCGGAAAAGTTATTTCATTGGGTTTGACTATAACACTGAATTTTTTTCCCATACTCTTGCCACTTATCCATTTTTTTTGTGTATTTATACTATTTTGTACGTGGAGCTTGTTTATTTGTAGGTTGTGTTCACTTTTTGAGTTTATTTATCACTTTTTTGTTAAAATTTACTGTGTTTTTTTTGGATTTTTATTTTTTCGGTTGGAAAATAAAGTTTTAGTACCCTAGTGGTTTTTACTTAATAGTTTGACGAGGAACGCATTGCATCGTTGTTTAGCGCCAGTTTTTCCACTGGATAGCATTGGTGCGTCACGTGGTAGCTGTGCGGGATAAGGGTGACCTGGCCTTCATTGAAAAATTGCATATGGACCGGATATATATGAACTTGCGGTTGCTGAGAACGATGACCCCACATTATGCTCATCTCCAGCTCTTTCGATTGCGTGTCTCTGATTCACTCCTATACTTATCTGCTTGTAGGGGTTGATTACGATGCCAAAAAGTATAAATTATTTTTTTTTGAATTAATAGTTATAATTTAAATTAAACATTTTATCTCATCTCATGATCATGTTCACCGGTTAATATCTACTAATTGCTCCTCCCCAAAAAAAGAAAGTTTTAAAATCAGTCTGTTCGTATTTTAATTCATTTGAGGTTAGCAGTTGACTACTACCGTTACTTTTGGATGTGAAGATCGTATATTCCACTCACATCATCTCTCTTCTATAATCCTTCTTTATATGACCAGTCTTTGACCCTGTTTAAAGACAAGATTAGATGTGATGTGACATCACATCGCAAGAATACCTTAGTGGTGGAAGTGGAGCGTGCGTTCATCCCATCCACCAGTAAGGCTTAGGGTTTGTTGACATATAGAATTTGACATGTCCTCCCTAAAAAAGGTGGTATTAATAGCATTTATCAAGTGATTTATTTTGTGTTGTGTCTGATAGGCTGACAGAGAGGGACATGACCCCTACAAAACCAGGTCCATAAGCTGGTGTCACTTTTTCTTCACTTATTAAATAAAAAATTAAATAGAGTTTATTGTTTGAATCCCACGTACAATTCTCTGGGGGTGTGTTTGGCAAAAGGGATAAAACGGAATAAATCCAATTAGATTGGGTTTTCTTGTCCGGTGGCCCACAAATTTTTGGTTTGAATCCATTTTTTTGTATGAGATATTCGTTGGACTTATTTTCTCGGCTCGTAGTAATTTCTCTCATTTATCCTTTCTAACCCGCTTTATTATATTCCACCATAACTTTGGGATTAGTCAGTCCAATGACCAGATTGAACTTCTAATTATTAAACTACCCTCGAATAGTACCAACGGTAGGATTTTTACCCTTCACCCATTTTTGTCTTCTTCGCTTTATTTCTTCTCATTGGTCCTTCTTCCCGCAAGTGACACCCAGTGCAAGGTAAATCTCTCTCTCTCTCTATATATATCTATCTCAAAGTTCATATGTCGTTTCTCTCTCTATACATCTGTGTATATATATATATATATGTGTATATCTCTCTTTCTCTTTCTCTTTCTCTTTCTCTCTCTCTCTTGCTATCTGTGTGTGTGTGTGTGTATATATGTCTATGTATCTTGGTCTATATGTATATGTATACAAGATCTACAACCTGCAAACAAACCTCACCAAAGAGAAGGTTTTGGACAGTCTAATTTGTAGAGCAAAGGTCATTCCACATAAACTTTCTCTGCCTCTTCGTACATACCCAGAAACTAAAACACTAGCCTAAGATTATTTTTAAAAAAATAATAATAATAATTCTGATTTTTTTTCTCTCAACAAAAACAAGGATTAATTATGATCATATTAAAAAAATTATTTNCACTTTCTCTGCCTCTTCGTACATACCCACAAACTAAAACACTAGTCTAAGATTATTTTTTAAAAAAAATAATAATAATTCTGATTTTTTTTTCTCTCAACAAAAACAAGGATTAATTATGATCATATTAAAAAAATTATTTAAAAAAAAAAAATTTTGATCATAGCCCGCATGCAAACAAGATGGTGTTAATCATAGTTTAAGAATATCCAAGCCATTGACATGCAAATTCTTTTACTCATACAATCAAGAAATGACATCTCTCTCTCTCTCTCTCTCTGTGGGGGGTGATGTATTGGGTTTTCTTAGTTGCAACAAATTTTGCTTTGTGTCTTTTCCTAAAAATTTTTGCTTTGGGTGATGGTTTGTTCTATTTTAGTTTTGATTATTGTGCATTTTGCGATTACCATGTAATGCTTTTGGTTTTACTTCCAGCCAACCTTCAATCTGTAATATTATTTGAGATAATTTTTTTTTTCATTTAGAAAAATATCAGGAAAGCAAACATATTTTGTAGTAATATGANGGGGTGATGTATTGGGCTTTCTTAGTTGCAAAAAATTTTGCTTTGTGACTTTTCCTAAAATTTTTTGCTTTGGGTGATGGTTTGTTCTATTTTAGTTTTGATTATTGTGCATTTTGCGATTACCATGTAATGGTTTTGGTTTTACTTCCAGCCAACCTTCAATCTGTAATTTTATCTGAGATAATTTTTTTTTTTCATTTAGAAAAATATCAGGAAAGCAAACATATTTTGTAGTAATATGAAAGAAAAAAAAAACTAATTTTATGGCATCAAGCTCATAAAACAGAACGACGTTTCTAGAATCTTATGAGCAAATTAATTAGATCAAAATTTGTTGGTATTGCAAACATTAAAACCAAATTATTTTTGGTTTGTGCACTTGGTAACATAGATGAAAATTGGAGAGAAGTTTAAAGGTGGACAAAATAAATAATGTTGCCTAACCTAACATAGACTTTGGATTTGATAATAGTCAAGGGTAAAATTGTAATTTAATGTAAATAGTAAGAAATTTTATGCAAAAAATAATGATTTTTCTATGGGCCCCATAAAATACAAAAGTACTTCATAAAGCAAGAATTGAATTACACAACTTTATTAATATCTTGTCTATATCTTCCGGACTTGGGTTTTCATTAGATTAGTTTAAATTAAAAAACTAAACTAATCCTATCCCCCACATACTTGCCAAACACACCCTGGGGGTAGTGTTGGTTTAACAGGATTGGAGGGGATCAGAAATGAGATTGAATTAAAATAGTGAAATAACCCACTTTGATTGAAAAAATTGAAAAAGCCTTCTCGTGGGATTGAAAAACTCGGCGTCCACTACGCCTTCACTGGAATCCAACCCACATGGAATTATCTGAACCCATGTGAATGGAGGGATTCAAAACCTAGTAAAGGGGTAGATGATAAAATTACATATACAACCTCAATGAAAATGGAGAAGTTTCTACAACTTCTTGTTGAATTGACGGCGTTCTTTTCCAGAAGCTTTCGTCAAGCAAAGCAAAATTTGAAGAAAAGCAAACCCAAAATAAATCAAGGCAAAAATAAACAACATAAAAAAACCCAAATCTAGCAGATCTATGGTTTACCTTCTTATTGCAAAAGGGTATCTCTGATAACAATGGCTTTTTATTGGACTAATCACAACTTGCACGAGGAAAACTCACTATAATCTCAATTTATACCCTCAAAATTTAAAAATATTAATTTATACATTCAAAAATATAAATACATATCAATATACTCCTAAGTCTAACTGTCATCTATTTTGTCTTTAAAAAAATTTAAATTAATTATAAATTACACTCCTCAAAGTTAAATATTTCACATTTATATTTTAAAAATAATTTCATCAATTAATATTTGTTACATAGCTTTCAATTGTATCGGGTCATGTCATGAAAAATAAATTGCATTNTAAATATTTCACATTTATATTCTAAAAATAATTTCATCAATTAATATTTGTTACATAGCTTTCAATTGTATTGGGTCATGTCATGAAAAATAAATTGCATTTGGATCATTGAAAGATTTTAATATAGTTCGGATTAATATTGCTATTTATTGAAAAAAAATAATTAAGTTTTATTTTTAAACACACATCTTTGGATTTTCTAGAAATAAACAAATAACGACTTAGGCTTGAGTTGTATCGATATGTTTATTATTTTTGTGTTGAAAATTATTTTTTTTCCATGATGCATATGTTTTTTGTGATTAAAAATGTATTCTACAAATTAATTTAAATAAATGAACAAAATATTTATTGCAATATTTTGTAAAAATGCATAATTTATTCATTTGTATTTTTTGTCATAAAAATATCAATACTAATGGATTAGATTTTTTTCTTTTCATTTCATTCCATTCCAAATATAGTGTAAGATTGTATCACATTGTTTTACATAAGGGTGAAATTGTCATTTTAATTTATTTTATCTTCACATGTTAATGGAACCCACAAAACAAATGAAAC